TGCTGACCACTTCCTCTTTGACAAACCCGTCTCCCCCCTGCTGCTGGGTGCTGGTATGGCCCGTGACTGGCCCGATGCCAGAGGCATTTGGTGAGTCAAATCATAATCATAATATTTCTGTCTTATTTCGAAGGTTGCACCCTTCATAGGTCACATTTGTCAGCCGCATACGTCATCAAGGTTGTCTCATTTCAGAAAAGTAACCATTAAAAAAATGTACTGTTATTCCTTGTGCAGAGTAAATTACTGTAATTTGTTTCTTCCTTTGGAATGTAATGGTCACTTTCTGAAACTTTTTTTCTTTTGAAAAGAAATTCAGATTTTTTTTTACTTTTATGAAACTTTTTCTACAAATGAGACATCCAATGAGACACATACTAAATGACTGAACAAAGGCTATATATAATTAATCAATACCACACAAGCAAGAGTGCTGTTGAATTAATCGTTTGAGTGAATGATTCAGTGACTCACTCATGAAGACAGTCACTTGCAGCCACCTACTGGTGTAACCTGCAGAAAGTGCAAACAAAGACAAATGGATTGTGATACAATGAAAAGTTCCAGTGTGATTCAACCTACAGAATAGGTATATGGAGTATAGAACATAAGCGTTATATAAATTAGGTTTTGAATTGTAAATAAATTGTGGTGCATTGGGTGAGGCCTATGTTTCAATTACAGGCACAATGAGAACAAGACCTTCCTGGTTTGGGTGAACGAGGAGGATCACCTGCGTGTCATTTCCATGCAGAAGGGCGGCAACATGAAGGAAGTGTTCAAGCGCTTCTGTGTTGGTCTTCAGAGGGTATGGAGAACCTGAACATATAAATGCACATATGTAAACCGCTGTTGTTGCCCGCAGCATGTGTGAGCATGTGCATGTTCTGCTTCGACAGATCGAGGAGATTTTCAAGAAGCACAACCATGGATTCATGTGGAACGAGCATCTTGGTTTCATTCTGACCTGCCCCTCCAACCTGGGCACAGGCCTGCGTGGTGGTGTCCACGTCAAGCTGCCCAAGCTGAGTACACATGCCAAGTTTGAGGAGATCCTGAACAGACTGCGCCTGCAGAAGCGTGGCACAGGTATACAAACCCTGCCTGAACATACTGCACAAATGTTTACTGATGATATTAACGTCATGAAGACATTGTATAATTAACATCTGCTCCATTTGTTGACCTCCATCCTCATTTGTCTTCCCAGGTGGTGTGGACACCGCATCTGTTGGAGGAGTGTTTGACATTTCCAACGCTGACCGTATTGGCTCTTCAGAGGTTGATCAAGTGCAGTGTGTGGTTGATGGCGTCAAGTTGATGGTTGAAATGGAGAAGAAGCTGGAGAAGGGCGAGTCCATCGACAGCATGATCCCTGCCCAGAAGTAAAGTGGGAGCCCTTCCATTTTTTTCTAGTCTTTGTTTTTTTTTAACAGTCCATCGTGCAATCTGACATCAATGCAGAGGAAACTGCTGCTCAAAAAGACAGTCTCGCCTTTGCATCGGTCTTGCTTTCCTTTTTCCCTTCTTCTTTATTTTCCTTTTTCCCTTCTTCTTTATTTTCCATGTCATTTCTCCATCACTTTATTCCACTTTGTTTCCTGTTCAGTTGGTAACATCTTGGGATCAGATTCCCGGCGCAGGTGTGAGTGCCTGTTGTCGAGGCTTCACCTTAATTTCAGCCTTGGTTGTAAAAAGTGAATCAATCAAGTTGTATTTAAATAAAAATACCCCATAAGACATATAAACATGTCTTCTATTTTAACAAATTTTTGAGCAGAGTCAATTATATATATATATATATATATATATATATATATATATATATATATATATATATATATATATATATATATAT